ACGATGATTTTTATCCCAAGGTTCACTTGGTTGCCACTAAGCTGGTCCCCATTGTGTCGACCGCTCACTTGGTGGTTCGACGGCTAATTGGCATCACCCATCAAGCCCACACATTGGGCACCGCAAGAACCTACCCACAAGTGAGGGTAGCTCAATAACACGCTCTACTAGAGTTGCTCTTTGTGGCTCCCGCGGGGTGAGCACAATACCCCTCACAATCACTTCTTCGGAGCACCGCACAATCTTCCTTGCGTGCTTCGACGGAGACCACCACCAAGCCATGTAGGAGGTGGCAACCTCCAAGAGTAGCAATCACCATCGGCTTACAACTCGATCACCTAGTGCCACTCGATGCACTCTCACAATGCAATCGCACTCACACTCAATTGGATGATCACTATTAAGCACAAGTAAGTTAGAGGGCTCCTAAGCACACCTACACAAGCCACCGAGGCTCAAGGGTGCTTAGCAACCGGCCCAAGGCCAGCCACCACTTCTATTTATAGCCCAAGGGCTAAAATAGCCGTTACCCCCTCACTGGGCAAAACTCGCAGTAGCCGGACGCGTAGGTCCACCTGATTGGACGCACCGGTCCATGCGTCCGGTCGCTACCGCGCTTCCACGTGTCACTAGCCGTTGCCGCCAATGGCTAACTCACGCACACGCCTACAACCACTGATCGGACACGCTGCTCAACTTGACCGGACTCACCACGCCTTAGTGTCCGATCAACAATAGAGAGCTCCCAGAGACTCCAAAACATGATCGGACGCGTCAGATCCAACCTGACCGGACTCGCCCTTGCGTCCGGTCCTCCTCTGCCTCACTGCCCATGGCTATGTCAGCGTACATCACGTCTGACCGGACATAGGCCCTGCGTGTCCGGTCCCTTTTACTGTTCAGCATTTGGTCTCGGACCGAGACCGCGCCTCTTCTACTAACACTGATCGGACACGTAGGTCCTACCGAGGCCTGCATTCGGTCATCTCCAGTGACCTATTTTCACCTCATTTTCTTCACGGAGTTGATCCACATCAAGTCTAACTTCTTCTCCAACACGACCAAGTGTACACCACCATGTGTATGTGTGTTAACATTTTCACAATCATTTTTAAGGAGTTAATCACTCAATTCACATCGCCACTCGATCCTAACATGTATGCAAAGTTAGATCACTCAAGTGGCACTAGATGACCAATATGCAAACAAGTTTACCCCTCTTGATAGTACGGTCATCTATCCTAAACCTAGTCATAAACTTATCTACACACCTATGACAGATGAAATGAAATGTCCTACAAATATACCATTGCCTTGCGCATTCCATTCCATCTCCTCCGGTGTTGATGCAACATATGCACCAACCAAATCACAAATGATATGATCCACTTCATATCATCGCATGACCTTGTTGGTTCATCGATCTTGACCTCACTTTCTTTTCATCGTTGCCTTCGTCCATCGACGCCAAGTCTTGCTCAAGCTTCACCGCCATGCAGTCCATCGCTCCAAAGCCTCTAACTTGCCCTTCACGCTTGCAACCGGTCTATCAAGCCAAGTCTTGTCTTGATCTTCTTCACCTTAGTCACATGACTCTATGTCATGTCTCATATGCAATAAGCTCCTTCATCACATGTGTGAGTCTTGCAACATATCCGAGTCATTTCACCTCCATGGCATAGGTTGCTCACACATGATGTACTTGTGGACTAATCACCTGTCAAACATATATTAGTCCACCTAAAGTTGTCACTCAATTACCAAAACCAAACAAGGACCTTTCACATGTGCAACATACGTCTAAAGCATCTAAAACATTTAGAACAATACACTCGCAATATACATGTATAGCCACTACAACAAATTTCAACATCCACATGAAACACTTGCAACTTGCTACATGAAAACACTTGGTGCAACATAAGACTAAAAACAGATGAAACATTTTGGAATATACTCTTGCAACATGTGCAACCTCACAATCTACTTTTGCAACATCCATATGAAGTACTTGCGACATACTTCTGAAACATTTAAAACATATGGTTGCAACATGCACTTTCATCGTAGTGCAACATTTACTTGTTGCTCGGAAGAATGGAGGCTCATCGGCGTGTGGAGTTCACCGGAGGCAGCGGCCCAGCAATGCTTGAAGGTGGTGGCCCAGCTGCAGTGGCTGCACGACGTGGAAGGGAGACATCGGCAACATGACGTGGAAATGAGGCATCAGTCTCGCGACGTGCCTGGGAGACAACAGCCGCATGAGTGGGAGAGGGCAGCTGCACACCGCGCCTGGTAGGGCCGACAGCCGAGCGTCGAGCATGTCATGCCCGGTGGGCTCAGCAGCCGAGTGCTGCGCCTCAAAAGCGGCTCACTAGCCTAGCGTCGTCGTGCACGAGCGGCTGTCATCAGGGCTTGCTGCCTTCACGCCGCCGTGAGCTCACCTTTGAGCGAAACGCGTGCCGCAGAGCTCTCCTGCCTCCACGCCATCGCCCGTGCGGCTAGCTGGCCTCGCGTTGTCGTGCACGAGCGACTGTCGTCGGGGCTTGCCTGCCTCCGCGTCGACGTGAGCTCACCTCTACGCAGAGGCTTTCTTGCCTCTGTGCCACCACGCTGCGGCTCACCAGCACGCCGTAGACCATCGATGCTTGCTGCTTTGTGTTGGATGCGCCCCAGGGAGCAAATTGGGGAGAGAGAAAAGAGGGGCAAGGAAGCGAACGGATTAGATCGGAATGAGTGGATGAGTAAAGCACTGCGCTTGGAGCCAGTAGGCAAGCGGATAGGAGCGATAGGAACGAGTGGATGAGCAGTTTTGAGAAACGAAGGAGAGAGAGGTTATTGGGCTGGCGACGTGGCCCACCAACATAGCATCGGGGGGGGGGGGACACCCACCCGCTTCCCTGCGTTATTGGAAAAAAAACATAATATAATCCATGGGGTCCGCTGCATGCGCTGCGGTTGCTGTTGGTCCATTGGCTCCCCCATCACCGGTGACCGATCGATGTGGCAGTTTGTCACCGGTGGCTGGATTCGCGTGTTGTGTGCGTGGCTGCTAAAGATGGCAATGGGGACCCGATCCCTGATTCCCCTCGAGGAATTCCCCTATTAGGGGACGGGGATGGAGACAGATTGTTCCCCATGGGGATGAATTCGGTGGGAAATCTATCCCCGCTGGGGATGACGGGGACGGGGATGGTTGGGTGCTCCCCGGCCCTGATTCCTCTCATCTGCTCTGACATCTCGCTCCCTCCCCTCCACTCTGACACCTCATCTCGCCGTATCCCTACATCGCTCCCTCTGCTCCCACGCTAGAAGGCGATGTGAAGCAGCTGCCTGCATCCGCTCCGATGCTAGAAGCGCGATGCGACGCCGCTGAATCTCTCCATGTCCGACGCCGCTGCATCTCTTGGTGTCCACTCTCTAGGACTCGGGACATCGTCCGCCGCCCGCCAGGAGCCGCCCACCGGGCCTCGTCGGAGCCATAAGCCGTGAGGCGCAGCATCCATGCCTGCCGCCAAATGCATGCTGGATTGCTTAGACTTACTATGAATCTAGGATTATGGGATGTGTCTCTGTAAATTTTCTCGTGTAGTCGTGTTTCTGCGATTTGGTTTTTGTGGTTTGGTTTTTGTGATTTGGTACATTGCTTGTTGTGCTCGGGATGGGGATCCCCGCGGGGATTAAATCTGGAACGGGGATGGAGAAGAAATGTCCTCCATTGATGTTCGCGGAGACAGGGATGGGAAAAATTTGTCCCCACGGGGACGGGGATGGTGGCCTGTTTCCGATGGGGAATTCCCCGTTGCCGTCTTTAGTGGCTGCTATAGGCATCACGTGGCTACCGACGGAAGCTTGTCACGCAGAGCAGAGGTAGCTCGCGCGTCACTATCGCTCTAAAGGCTGTCTGTTTGCAACAACAAGGGCGTCCAAAACCCCAGAAAAAACCCTGTGACTTGGTGTCGTCAGATGCAGATCCATCCGTCTGCGTATGATAACCAGTTAAGTAGTTAACCGCCGGCCTTAATCCAGGTTAATTGGGTACCTAGATATTGTATGGCCAGGAGCCGCCAGCATCTCATCTGACGACATGCATGCCGGTGAGCAGTCATCATCTCATCTTATTTTGTGCATCTTTGTCTTATAATCTTTGTTTCTCTCTATCTAGTGCTCCTTGTACTCTTCTATACTTGGGTGTGCTGTGTGCACACTGGATCAGTATGTGATGTATATTTCATTGCTCAAGTATAATAATATTGGCTGATTCGATCGCTTTTTAATTGCAGAATGAATAATACTAATGCAAAAGACCTGCATCAGATATACATATCGTCGTCCTTGGATCAGCTGCATCATCAGATTCATCCAGAATTTCAGATACAGCAACACGCGCACGCCACACGCACGTTCCTCCACTATTGCCTTGGCAAACACAGATCTGTTGAGATCTCTTCTCTGAATCTTTGAATTCTGAAAGGCATCCACTTTCAGGTTGGCATATGACATGATGAATGGCTGCCTTGAATCCGGCAACATACAGATATATTTATATGCTCAAACGAACCTATCGCCAAATGCTGGCCAGATTAAGGAGCTAGCACAAGCGCGCACTATGTAGAATTATATATACGCCTAGATCTAGATGAGTGCTCGCCAATTGTCAATGGCACTACTTCAGCCACTTTGGGTCGAGGACGCAGTGCACACGTCAGGTCTGCTCGCTTCACCCATGGAGTGCCACTACCTCTAAAAAAAAACTTTGGCCCGTCAAAAAGTGAGATGCATGTACAGTTTTTAGGAGAGGCTGCGGTTATTTTCAGGTAAACGGTAAATCAGGGCCAGATTTACAATACATCGATTCAAGCTTCTTTTATAACCATACATCTTCATGCATGTCTGTTGTCGAATTTGCTTCAGCTTCAGCACACTTGTTGCCATTTTCACTCCTCCATCTTGTGGATTCATAGATCCACGGACGGCGGCGTAAGTGGCAAGCACGCAAGCTAGGTTCCAATGGACGGCATCGACGGTGACAGAGACATGACGAGCTCCAGGTTCAGCGGGGAGCAGTGGTATCGTCCATGAGCTTGTTCCTCGTCCATCTCTGAAACTGATGCCTTCGGAGACAGAGAGTTCGAGGTGCCGACGGCCTTGCAACCTGACGGGTTGGAGACGACAAGCACCACGTGTCTGTTTTCACTCTCACAATCCTGAACCTACCACGCATCGAGTGTCAGAAATGTTTTTTCAGTATAAATAATTTGTTCTTCCAGACAGAAAAGGAACTAAAAATCCGAAAGATTTGAGATAGGAGTAGCTTTTTTAACCATATCGAAGAGGCTGGAGCGGCGCTTGCTGCTCTTCTTCGCGGCGCCGGCGCTGTTCTGCCTGAGGAAGAACTTCTGGGCGTGGCTGGCCACCTGAGTGGGCGTTCTGGTGGTGACGAAGCCCCGGGAGATGCCGCGCCAGTCGCCCCTGCCCAGCTTGTCCAGCCCCACCAGGAACAGCCGGTGCTCCTCCTCGCTCCACGGGACCCCTTTCTTCCTCTCCCGCAACGCTGCCGACCCGCGACCGCCGTTGTCGGAGAGGTAGCCACCGCCGTCGCCGGCTCTTTCGGCCGAGCACTCGTCGATTGACAGGAGCAAGCCCGACGGCGCGACAGGCAGGGGCCAGCCGCCCAGGCAGCAGTCCACGCTGTAGCTCCTGTGCAGCTGCAACGCCGGCGCCGGCGGAGCGGCAGCGGCGCGAACGCCATTTGTTGAGGCGGCACGGAGCTGCACCCCGAACAGCCTCAGCCCTGCCGCGGCGGCGCCACCGCCGCCACAGCGCATGGCGGCGGCCTCACTCACTCTCTGGTGGTCTGCGGTGGCGATGCGGCAGGCTATCGAGCCATGGCCGTAGCTACCACAGTTGGAGCATCTACTCGCCACGGCATGCATTGTTTGCATGTATAAAAAAGGAAGGCTATCCGCTCTCTCAATTCTCAGCAGAACTATATATGAGAAATTGAGAATGAGAACAACTGTGCTGGTCTTGGCATATGCCAACAACGGCCGAGACAACAATAATTGGAGCCGTCATTTTCATGTACGTAGTAGCTCATTGGATTTTTGGATATGCTATTATCATATACAAATATTCTTTCTTTCTTTCTTGGTGACTATACTGTCATTGCACTAATCTCCTGATTATGTTGACTAATCCAACCAGAGTCTTATCTTCTCTAACTACAGGATCTCTCTCAAAGAGATTTGGGGTGAAGTGCTTGTCAGTCCATGATGGAGACAGGCATATATACTCTTATATACTACTCCTTCTGGCCAAAAAAGAATACAATTCTAGCATAGCATAGTGTCACGTTTTAGTATTTTGATCAATTATAGATAAAAATATATCAATATTTATGATATCAAATAAATATTATTAAATTAATTACGAAATATATTTTCATAATAAATTGATTCAGTGTCATAAATATGAATACTATTCACTAAAAACTTAATCAAACATGAACTATTTTTATGGACACGCAACTCGTAGTCGTATTTATTTTTATGGACACGCAACTCGTAGTCGTATTCTTTTCTGAACGTCGGGAGTATTTTACATTGCATGGCCCAATTCACTGTCCATGGTTTATTTGTGGCCAAAGGAAAGTGCATGTGTATGCATGATTGAGGGCTTGTGGCAGAACGTTTTGTTTAGGTCCATGCATGGGCCCCAGCTGGTCAGCTGTCCATCTGCTTTGCTTCAGTGAGCATGAAGAGATTTGGGACAGCTACCTAATTGGTCACTAGAAAAAAGTGTAGTGCAAAAAGTCTGTGATCCACTAACTCTGGCTTCAGGTACAGGCATGACATGCCTGCAAGATTCAAGATCTCCATTAGTCACCAGCTTTGTCTAATCCAATAATCCTCAGCGTGTAAAAAACCCCACGCGGCAAACTCCACGCTACAGGCGCAGAGTGATCTAAAGCAGAAGCTTGGTATCGCCGTTGACTACAACGTTGTGGACCACATGATCAATGAAAAGTTTCGGGCAACCTTTGCGGCCCCTTTGTCGGCCAACAAGCAGGAGGCACTGCAGGCGCTGTTTGGGGACGGATTCGATCCGGTGGCCATGAACCTGAATTTGGTCGGGTTTGACGCCGAGGATATTTAGGCCTTGTGCTCAACCTTTTTGTCGCAAAATACTACCGTGTAAATCATAACCACGCTCGCTGGTCTCGATAACCAATGGATTACCGTGGCCAGCTTAGGTTATAACAAACTCTACTTCTTATTAATGAAAAACGTGCCACGGCATGATCGTGATTTTTTTTTTTTATCCTTCTCCTTTTTTTGAGAATATGTCGCGGTATAAATTTTTTTTATTGATATTATGTTGGTAAAATAAAATGGAATCCAAACTTTTCTGAGAGGAATAACAATATCACATCACAGTTAATAAAAGAACTCTCTCCCTATATTAATAGAACACATGTTTTTTCTTGAAAAAAACGGAGCATCAGCACAGCTCTTTCTCGTTAATTGGGCTCATTCCTACTCGTTCAGTTCGAAAGGCCCAATAAACCAGCATCCGCGCAACAACACCACAAAGGTCCACATATCCATTTTTGAACCTAGGCCCACAAATCCCGAGCCCGACCCGCCGCTTCTCCGGCAGCGAGTCTAGCACTAACTCAAATGACAAAAATGCCCCCCTCCCCCCACACACAACACTGAGCCTCAGCATGGTACACCAGTAATTACCTCGACCCCATATACCCGTTTTCGTCATTTAGCAAATGGAAATGATAGCCCGTCGTCTGAAAGCGGAAGGCAAGCCCGGCTGCCGTACAGTAGACCTGCAGAGTGCAGACTGCCTCAGCCTCACCAAGCGAAGCTCGTTGGCGGCTAGGGTTTTGCGGCCTCCCGAAGTGACCAAAGTCCAAACCCTAGAGCACCCGCGCCCATTCCATGGCGTGCTAGGCTTCGATCGAGGCTGTGGGGATTAGTACCGTACCACGGGTTGGGATTAGAGCAAGCGCCGAACGGAAATGGCGTCGAGGAACCAATTCGATCTCCTTGGAGACGTCGACAACGACGACCCCGCCCACCTCCTCGCAGCCGCCGAGAAGAAGGCGGCCGCGGCGCCTAAGCCCGCGCCAGCGCCCGCGCCGGCCAAGCGGCCCACCAGCCCCCCGCCGCCCGCGCAAGCTGGTGAGTCCATAGCGATACGCTTCCGATGTTGCTGTTTGTGTTTGGTAGGAATTATCCGATTTCGGGATCCACGGGTGCCATCTCAAGCTCGGAGTTCTGATTATTCATGTGAAAATTTCACTCTTTTGTTATCGCAGTGAGGGAAGAAAGGAGCTATGGTGCTCCACCGCGCGATGGTCCTGGGCGTGGTGGTCCAGGACGCGGAAGAGGCGGCCGTGGCGGCAGGACCGGCCCGAGGCGAGATTTTGGCGATGCTGATGCCAACGGCTTTGAGGGAGGGTATGGTGGTGGTGGTGGCTTTGGAGACGGTGGAGTTGCTCGCGGTGAAAATGGTGAGGGGAGGCAGGCAGAGAGGGGCCATGGGCCGCGCCAGCCTTACCGTGGAGGTGGGCGCCGTGGTGGGTATACCGATGGGCAGGCTGGGGATGAGTTCGGACGCCCTCGCCGGGCATATGAGCGCCACAGCGGTACGGGCCGTGGCTACGAGATGAAGCGTGAAGGGGCTGGGCGAGGAAATTGGGGAACTCCGACTGATGAAGGCCTTGCACAGTTAAGATTGTTGCTATTCAGTCTTTGATATGTGGTTTGATGAACCATTTTTAAGTTACTACGATGGATGTGTAGAGTTTTGACCTCTCTGTGTGCGACTTGTAGGGACACTGTGGATGCCGTTAATCCCGAGGAAACTGCTGCCGTGGTGGAGGATGAGAAGAAACCTGAAGATGCACCACAGTCTGAGGTTGAGAAGGACAAGGAGGGTGCGGAGAATGAAGAGGAAGAAAAGGAAGCTGAGGATAAGGTATATTTCTGATTTGTACTATGACGCTCCTGCTACCACATACCACTTTGCATTGTGTCTGGTTGTAGTATGGCTAGCACATTCTGTACAGGGTGATGGTAGCACTCTTGAACATGCCTAGCACCTCCTGTAATTTTGTGTACTATGACACTTTTAATGTTCTGAACATTTATTCATATAACTGGAAAAAATGTGGAGTAGATTGGTGGAAATATTTTGTGATTCTTATAGTTTCATTCATATCAAACCTTGCTCGACCTTGCTCGTTAGTCTAGTTATTTATTTTAAAACTTCTTGCTTGAAAATCAGTGTTGCTGTGCCAAAATGGGGCTGGCATTACCTTCTTGATGATTGCATTATTTTTGTATTTTAGAGACTCTTCTGCTTTTCAATCCATTACTTTTTGTTTTTTTTCTGCCAAATGTAATGGCCCTCTGTTAGAATGTATGCTTTCATGTTTGCTAGTCAGTTTTCCAGTTATTCGAAATTCGTACTGTATCAGATACTTGTATTGTACCAGCACCTAGCTTTGACTATGGTGAGCCATTGACCCACTGTTTTCAACGTTTCTAGATATGGCCTACTGTAGCACACTCAGTTATGTGAAATTCGTACTGTATCAGATACTTGTATTGTACCAGCACCTAGCTTTGACTATGGTGAGCCATTGACCCACTGTTTTCAACGTTTCTAGATAAGACCTACTGTAGCAACACTCAAAAGAAGTGGATTGCTGATATTCATTTTCCCTCATACCAGTTCATAATTTCATGCATCAGATGTGATGTGATGCCACTTAATATTGAATGAACTGTTTTTGTTGCATAAGGGATACTTAGAAAAAAAATGATGCTTTGAGTACTCCAATCCAGAACATGCCAAGTGCTTGCAAGTTTTGGCTCCAAGATTTGATTTGGGATATTTGTGTTCTTGTAAAACAATACATTTTATTATGATAGCAGTATCATTACTCCCTCATTCTCCTTTTTCCCCTGTGGCTGGTTTTATTAAATCTTTGTGTATCTGTAATTCAACTTCTCTAGGCCTTTCAGGTGCTTTTGTATGGATACTCCTGTATCTTTGCTATATTCCTGTTACTGATATGTCATACCTGCAGACTTACTGGAATTAAGTTGGGATGCCATTTTTTCATTAAAATAGAGTAGTTTGTGAAATAATGTTTGCTCCAACCATGGTGCAGGAGATGACTTTGGAGGAATATGAAAAAGTACTGGAGGAAAAACGAAAAGCTTTACATGCCCTTAAGGCTGAGGAGAGAAAAGTTGAGATTGACAAGGAGCTGCAGTCCATGCAACAGTTGTCAGTTAAAAAGGATGCTGATGAAGTGTTTATCAAGCTGGTACGTTACATTGCGTGCATACTGCTCTTTCCTTTTCCTGTTGGTCACAGTTGGTTTTGATTTTCACCCAAACGATTACCCAAACAATTCTAGGGCTCTGACAAGGACTTGAAAAAGAAAGAAAATGCTGAAAGAGAAGAACGGGCCAAGAAGGTATCTGATATTTTCACCTCGTTACACTTTAAGTCTGATCATCAGAGTTGCTGTTGTTTTGCTAACTGCTATGTCTGTTTCCTGTTTCCCTTGTTCCTGCCTCCCTGAAGTCCCTGAGCATCAACGAATTCTTGAAGCCAGCTGAAGGTGAGAGGTACTATAACCCCAGTAACCGTGGCCGTGGCCGTGGTAGGGGTCGTGGTGAGCGTGGGGGTTTCCGTGGTGGTTACAACGGTGGTTATCGGGGACTAGCTGCTGCTCCAACCATCGAAGACCAGGCTCAGTTCCCTGCCCTGTCCTAAGCACAGCTCGGTTTACTCCTGAGTTCGCTCAAGATCATGTCACTGTTGTTGAGTCCTCTCCTCTGTGCGTCAGTCTCAGTCCTACTGTTGCTGCTGCTGCTATGTCTCTCCCAGCATGTTTATCGCCGTGTGGTGTATCCGTGTGTGCTGACGAGTTGTGCCAAATGATGTGTTGTGTTGTAGGGGTTAGCTGCTTCTGTTTTTGGTAGGATTATGTATCCAACATTTCTGATGTACTGGTGTGCTCGTGATTAAGGTGCTGTTTGGTTCGCTCGTTTTACAGCGGGACCTGTTCACAGCGTTAACTACTTTCGTTACTTTTTGTTTGTTTAATATGGGATGTAACCCGATGCCACGGAACATGCCGCGCCTTCAGAAACCTGTTCCCCCTCGATTTGAGGCAGTAAAGGATCCCAATAATGGATTTGGATGCCCGCCTCGTTCCATTCCCATTACCCACGTCTTACAGCTGCTATTTGTGAACCAAACGACACCTAAATGGTTCTGCTCACTGAGAAATTAAATGATGCCATGTATTCCGGGGCTTCCGGTATCTGCCCTCTGGCCCGCCTCGTAATGGCTGTGGACTTTGTCACCGGAGACGGACAAGAGACAAGTATAAGAGTTAATTAACACCAAACAAACATCTTCACATCCTTACCCACAAGGATTCCGATTCAGCAACAGCTCGAGTTATCAAGTACCTTCACATCCTTCCCCACAAGGATTACGATTCAGCAACGTTAATCGGACGAAACAACAGCTCGAGTTATCAAGTACAGAATCGTTTTCGGCTACTTGGAGTTCCGAGTTCTCATCACCACGGGGCCTTCAGCTTGTACGTTCCAATGTTCATCGGGGAAGAACTCATCACCACGAGGACTTCAGCTTGTACAGTCCAATGTTGAGGGCAGAAGATGCCACGATCACACTGTCATCGAACCAGGCTGTCTCTTCCTTCTCACCCAAAGGCAAAGATCTACGTTCAGAGAGCAAGTATACCGTCCGAGATGGTTCTGAGCCCTAAAAGACAAGGCATGGAATAAGGTTTATGCACCTTTTTTTTTAGAGAAGTATAGTTAAATTGTTTCAAAAGAGAAGTATAGTTAATGCAAACATTACAATATTACCTCAATCACATTCAGTTTCCAGCAGTCAACCCCTCCATCCACAGCGGTGGTAATGATCAAATTTGGATTACGCCACCAGGAAAGCGAGACCACTCCTAAACATTACGATAAATCAACACATCTTAATATATTTAATTGGAAACCCTCATATACTATAAGCATAAGCACTAGAGTTTTAACTTGACAAACATGGGAACAAAGAAATTGCAACAACTTATATGATAAATAAATTAAGATAAAATATAGATCACACAAAAATGCAACTGGAAATGCATAATATAATACTAATCTTCAGCCGGGAAAGAATCCCTGCCTTCTCAGACCTCTGATCACTGTAGCAAACGCATTTCTATACTATCCAGCAATTTTCAGTTACTTTTGTTACAAAATCTTGACTACCAGCAAGGAAAAATGCAGTATAGTGCTAATGGCTTCAGCTTGACATATTCCTTGTCTCATGAGCTTTCCACTACTACAATGTTGATCAGTATGGCAGCAAAGGGAAACACTAGAGCTATCATATTACCATTTGGCCTTGATAAGTCAAGAATCATTTGGGATCCCGGTGGTTCCATAATTCTCCATCGGCTTGGGGGCAAGCCGAATCTCAAGGAGAGGGGAATGTCAGGATTGGCCATGGGCTTATCGGCCGGCCAGCATGTGCCTCACAACCAAGGCCCAAGGAAGACACTATGAAGCACTACAAGAGCAACAACAGCCGGACGGGAACGGGCATCGAATATTCAGAATACCAAACAGGTTCATCCTCCCTCTCGAGTTTTCCCTTTTCTACTGTTCATCTTCCTTCTCTGAAACCCTACACTTCCTCTGCTGCTCTAATTTCCTGCTGATACTTCCTCTGCTGCTCTAATTCCCTGCTCCTTCCTTCCATCCAGTTACCGGTTGCTAACATACTGGTTGTAAATAGTACATAAATTTTTTATCAGGCGAGCTCTGTCTGGGCACCTCTAACACTGACAACTGCATGCGCTACCTAGCCAGTTCTCAGGATAAGCAGGCACAGAGGCACAGTCCACAATCAGCGCTATATTAGCTGACCAGCTAAGGCAGTGTGCAAACTGCATGCCGAGCACAACTTAAGGCAGCAGCACTAGCATAGTAACCGCTCTGTTTTGTACCCACTTCCCAACTGATCAAACACTGTTCGCAAATTTCCAATCAATGCTCACCTGGTGACAGTGTCCACTACTGTTTAATTTTCGAGTTTAATGTTCACAGGTAAAAAACAGGCACGACCAACCATGCTAGCAAGTTAAGGCTCCAACTAAATAACAAGCATTGTGAAATTACCTTTTTTAGGTCCAAAATCAGATAATGGATGATAAGTGTTGCGTAAATCCCATATCTGAATGGAGAAAAGCAACATAAGGTACAAGAGTAAAAAGAGATGAGGGAATCTAGAGATGGGATGAGGCTAAATAGCTGACCTTGACTGTGGCATCATCACCTACTGATCCGACGACAAACTCCACAGGGTGGTTTGCATTCCAGTGAATCTCAGTGCAATGCTTGTTCTTTTGGTTAATGCTGTGTGTTGGTTTCTTTACTCTCAGATCTCAAATCTCTACATTCATTTAAAAACAAGATTATTATAGAATAAAAGAAAATCGTCATAAATACAGGTAGATAGTTATAGACATTACTTGCTGTTGCATCATCGCATGTGCTTGCAATTGCTACAGGATACTGAGGGTGCCAATCTACGAAAGTAGTTCGAGAACTTGACCCAACATCAGCCAACTAAAATCAAACAAACATTATTCAGAAATCAGATTTGATGATATGCAGATAACGTGTTCTTTTTATTTAATTACTATATTATCACTTACTTCATAAGATTTGATAGGATGATCAAGCTGGTAAAGCTTTAACTTCTCACTATCTCCACCACAGGCAAGGACATTTTTATGTTGATTGTTGAATGATATGGCAAAAACCTAAAATAACAAAACAAGTATTACACGCATGTATGCAGTTACCAAAAGCTAGAATTGAACTAATGCAAAAGCTCACTTTTCCACTGATATCATTTAGCTTTAGCACCAACCCACTGTTGTCAGTTCTGTTGGGCTTGTCTAGAACAACCCAGTCCTCAACATCATCACGGTTAACCTTGGATTTTAGATTAAATCCTTTTAGAGAGTGTTCTATGAAGTCGTCCTTAAGAAGATCGTCAAACTCCGACTGCCTTTCTGAAGCAGCTTCCTCCCTACAGATTTGAGGTTGTCATCATGGATTCTTGTATCATTGTATTGCATGTAACTATGTGACACAAATAAATAGGAAATAATAGAAATTATAGCGCTGAAAAGTAAATTGGTAAAGAAACATACACTTCTTTTATCTGGTACTGATTTCCACCACCAATTGAGGAACTGTCAGATTGGTTGCATAAACCAGTTGAAGTTAGTAAGGAGCCATTTGTGAAAAAAACTTAGAACAGGTAAATAACTAAATCACCATCTCTCATATAGAGTCTGTATAAAGATGAATACTTACTGGGATCTTTTGGGTGCCCCAAAATAACAGTAAGAAAAGGCACCGCATGCATAAACAAAACGGTGTGATTAACTCTTTAACAACACAAAACATAGGAAGTGTTGAAGCTGATGATGGCACAATATATAAAACACCTGCACAATATGGGAGTTGCTAAAATTCAGAGACCTGATTTTAAAGGTTTTTTCAGACGATGAATGTGAATCGCCTATCAAGGTCTAACAGACCTCTTTTCTTCTTTCTCAGGGCAGCTTGCTCCCTAGGCCCCATTTTGCACGGTCTTTGGATAAAACCCAATCCATATGCAGCGATTTGGTACCCACTGGTTGAATGATTTCAGCGGGTTAATCTTAATTTCAGGGGAAAGAGAAGGTGGAAGCGGAGAGAGGTAGGAACGGGCAAATCGAGCCCCGCCTAGTAGGTGACGGAGGTGGAAAAAGGCGACCTGCAGCGGTTCTCCCGCTCCGCCCCAATCGCTCGCTCTCGCACGGCCGCCGCTGCCGTCGTTGCAGGATGTGAAATTCAGGCTCTCTCTCTCACCTTTCTTGGCCTGCAGTAAGCTCCGCCCGGTGGCGTCGTGCCCGTGCTCTAGCTCCTGCAGCGCGCCATCTGCATCCACGCGTAACCGCCGCGCTTGGAGGCGGAGGCACTTTGCGTTGCTCAGGCCCAGCCGAGATTGCAGGCCGCCGTGTCGGCCTCGCGCGGCTCCTGGATCGACAGGCCGTCGCTGATCTCGCCAAGATCGCATCCTTGCTGCTTCGTGGAGGACGCGCATGGCCCTAGCATTTGCCGGTGGCGGCGGCGTCTCATCTCGATCAAATCTCAGGTGGCAGGAGGAAGAGATGAGCTGACGCGTGACGCCTGACACGGGTTTGTGCGGTGTGGAACCGGATGAAAATCGGCCCGTGTTTTTGTTGTGGCCTCCAGATGCGGTTTGCCATGGGCTGGTCATGGCCGGGTTGGGTCTTGTTCCAACCGGACCATGTTGGGCTTCTTCGCTCTTTCTTCCTTCCCGAGTACGTTCCCTCCGCCTCCCGCTGCCCTCCACCATCCGTCCCCACCGTTGCCGGCGCCAGGTCCGCTGCCGCCACCCCTGCCGGGCTTCGCTGGCGCCCCTGCACCCCCGCCCGTTCCCCGCACACGTTTGTGTTCTAGCCAATCGCCAATCTCGAGTCGCGACCAGTGGCGCCCTCGCCGCCGCGCCCCTCCGCCCCGGTAACCCACCTCTTCCGCCGGACTGGCCTGCCTCCCCTTAACCCTTTTCCAATGATGTTGCAGCGCACAATCCCCCTCCTAAACGCAGCCTAAGCACGCGAGTCTATGTGGAACAAACACACCACGAAACATGGCAAGGAACACACCACTAAATTAAGCGCAGGCGCGCTTAAGCTAGCGACGACGAACCCGATCGAAGAAGCCGAGAGAGATGCACGTGAACCGAAGAAGAAGGGTAGAAGCGGATACGGAAAATTACTAGTCGAGCTTGTATGGGTCCCAAACGTAGATGACGCCGTCGTCAAGGGTGCCAGCGAGGAGGCCATACGCAGGGGCGGATCTACGTGGGGGGCTGGGGAGGGTGAGGGAGAAGAAGAGGTGGAGGAAAGGAGAAAAATGGAGAGAGAGAGAGAGGAAGAAGAAGAGATCAGCCTCCCTTCAATCATGTTCTGCATCCGCCACTGGCCATACGGGTATGCCGAGTTGCTAGCGTCGCTCGCCGACCACGCCAGCCTGTGGAAGGCGCGGTTGCTGGGAGCCGGGATGGTGGTGACGACCTCCAACTGGTGGCCGAGCTCTGGCTCATCGTCCATCTTCCATAGGTCGAGGATGTCAATCCGTGAGTTCCCTCCATCCCACCCGGCGTGCGGGCGGGCAGCAGTCCCCGCCGCAAGGAGCTGATGGCGAGGGGAGAGCGCCATGGTGGCGGCTCTCGTCGTGCTCCGGGCACCGAGGAGTTCTACTTCTTCCATGATGGGTACGGCTGCGGTCGGTGCGGCGAGGCCGAGGGTGCGGGGCGGAGGATGTGTGAGGCGATCAGCAATGGAGTTGGAATTGGTGGGCGAGGTAGGGAGGGAGGCGAGGAGGGAGAAATGGCGGTGCCAGCCTGCCAGCCGAGCCGAGCACGGGATTTATGTCCATGTGGCGTCTCCCCGCGGGCCCCACTGTAACAAACTCAGCGCCGTATAGAATTTTAACCACGCTGCGCTTGCTGCTATATTTTTTGAACATCCACCAATAAAATTCATCTGCCATTATACTTTTTGTATTTCTATTCTATAAAATGAAAATTCTTCCTGAAATACTTTATTGAGTGTTTGATTTAGCGGTGTATCCCCCAAAATGCTTTCTGAAAATCCAGAAAAAAAATCATCTAAAGACATTGCATGCTCAGAATTATATTTTACTTTTGAATTAAAATTAATCAGGCAACACCATTCAGCCCTAAGCCATAAAAAATGGACGTTTGGGACTGCTGTTTGGGCCAGACCATGCATATATCTACCTCCACGCCAACCACGCTTTCCGGCCACGAAATGCATATATCTAACTGGAAATTCTTCCTTCCGTTATAGAGCATAGACATATTTGCTCATAAATACATTGCTATTTTAATTTTTATACTACTCATGTATTGGTACAATTATGTATCAAGTTTCGTTACTATTTTTAAAACCCATAAAAATCTATAGTTTTAATATATGATTCAAGCCGGCAAGGACTTTGTTGAAGTTGAGGATGACTCCAAACCAACACACCAGTAGGGCCTTGGACGTCCAAAGATGCTGCACACAACCTGCAACGTAGCAAGAATGCGGCGTAATCGATCAAACCAATCTAAAGACCGATGTAGAGCCTGTTCTTGGCCAGAAAAGCTCCCGAACTTCTCCCGGGAAGACCCGTCAGGGAGGAGCACGTGGAGGATCTCCTAGGACCAGCAAGGCCGCCTAGGATGCCACTGAATTTCGCCGGGAAACTCAACGAACAGCAAGAGGGGTTGAGAGAGGGGAATTAGAGCATCAGGAGTTGATAAATTGGTTTGTATGACGATTGGATAGATGGGAACTCAATCGGCCATGATCCTCTCATATATATACAGCGGGTGGTCTTATCCCAGTAGGAAACCTCTCCAAGCCTTATTTTCTAAGTTTCCCATGAGTTTGGAACAGTTCGGATCGGAATCCAAAATGCCAGATCCGAACAAGATTTTCTGTTAGGTATGTCGGAAGTCCCGACTTTGATTAAAACTCCCGACAGTCGGAACTTTCGACTTTTATTGGAACTCCCGACATAGAAATAACCCCAGACATCCGAGCAGATTTCTTCAGGCTTCCCGGAAGTCCCGACACCCATCGTAACTCCCGACAACGAGGCATCTTTCCGAGGGCATAACTACTTCATCCGGATTTCGAATTAGACATTCCATATATGTTTTTTGACCGTCTCGACGAGAGGAACACAATGGTGAAGTCCGTTTCATATTTTGACAACTTCATAAAATGGATATTTTTAGTTGTCAACATATGCCCCCATGTTTTTAGGTGAATGATGCATAAACCTGAAAACACTTAATCAAATAAATTAAATCCAAAGAGCGATGATACCCATCTCATCGGCTGCTCAATGGCTAAGGGCGATGTATACATCGGCCATTTTTTCTAAGAGCGATACATGTATCGGCCATTATTTGGAGAGCACTTAGGCTTCTTGCCAAACACTTGGAAAGTAGCCTTTCGAGTACCTTCCGTTGAATGCTCTCGTGAGACGTTCGCCTTGCAATGTCTCTAGCACATATGAATATCCGAATATAACTTTGACCACTTTGTAAGGACCTTCCTAATTCGGTGACCACTTGTCCAACTGATTGCTTTTTGATCCAATTGGTAGTATGGTTCTCCACACCAATTCTCCCACTTGATAGGATTTGCTCCTGACTTTCTTGTTGTATGCTTTGGCAACTCGAGCTTTATCTTTCTCTATTTCCTTGAGAGCTTTTAATCTCACATCAGTCACCTCATCGATGTTATCCATCATCAAATCATGATACATAACAGCTGATAAATCATTTTGTTTAGCAAGCCTGTATGCATCCAAATTCACTTCGACAGGCAACACGGCCTCTTGACCATATATTAACTCAAAAGGAGCAACCTTTGTAGCACCATGCCTTGAAATGTAATGTGCCCATAGAGCCTCAGACAAAACTTCATGCCATCCCCTTGGATTCTCCTTAATTTTCTTTTTGATGAGCTTGATCAAAGTCTTATTACTAGACTCAGCTTGGCCATTGGCTTGAGCATAGTATGGAGATGAATTGAGCAACTTGATCTTATATAATTTGGCAAGTTCCCTCACCTCTTTGGACACAAATGATGTCCCTTAATCTGTAGTTAACGTTTGAGGGATGCCAAATCTATGAATATAATGCTCAGTGATGAACTCAATTACTTCCTTATGTGTCATATTCTTCAAAGGAACTCCCTTGGTTCACTTAGTAAAGTAATCCATAGCAACTAACACAAATCGGTGTCCCTTCGAAGATGGGGGATATATTTGGCCAATGAAGTCTAGGCCCCAACCATGAAAAGGCCATGGTTTGATGATAGGATGAAGCACAACAGCAGGCACAAGTGAATATTTCCAAACTTCTAGCACTCTTCGCAACCTTTGTAGTAGCAAAAACAATCGGCCATCATAGTAGGCCAATAGAAACCGGCTCTACGCAATAACTACTTCATCTTCGGGGCCGATTGATGTGTACCACAGATGCCTTCATGGACTTCTCCCATAGCCACTCTTGCCTGATTTGATCCCAAGCACTTAAGCAACAAATCTTCGGCGGTTCTTCGATAGAGCTCATCATTATGCAATACATATTTGAAAGCGCTCCGCCGAACACTTTTATCAATTTTGGTACTTGGATCACGTAGATATCTCAACAAGGGAGTCCTTTAATCTTCTAAATCGTTCCCAACATCACTAGAAGTTATATCGGGCCGATTTGATAGCTTCTCAGGTGAATTGACCGGGCTAGTCACAGGGGAGTCGGTTGAGCTAACAGGGCCGGTAGGCTTAGCCGATTTGGAGGTGTCGGCTTGGCCGACTAGGGCAGTCGGCTTAGCCGACTTGGCCACAACAGAAGAGTAGTTGGCTGAGCCAACTTGGTCAGTCGGCTTAGCCGACTGGTCTTTACCTACACAGGAAAAATTGAAATCTTCATGCATCGACTGTTCTTGAATATGGAAATTATGTCCACTAACATCATAGCCAGATGCTTGTTGAGCTAACATGTTTGCCTTTTGATTTTCATGCCTCGGAATATGCCGAATTCAAAATTTGGCAAAATAATCAATAACATCAAGGCAAGCATCAAGACAAGCTCTTAGTAATCCTTCTAAACATTGAAATTCACCAGCAACTTGCTGTACTACCAGCAAAGAATCACCATAAGCTTCAACATATTTTACTTCCATAGACCGCAACATGATCAACCTGAATAATAGAACTTCATATTCGGTTTGATTGTTGGTACAAGAGAAATCTAATCTGCTTGACGTTCCAATTTTAGCACCATTAGGAGAAATAAGAATAATACCAACACATTGGCCATCTTTACAAACCGATCCATCAAAGTATAATTTCCATGGAGTAAAAGTAAGGTAATTGACTTCATCATCTAAATTAATACAATTCTCAACAATAAAATCAGCAAGAACTTGACCTCTTAATGTTTTCAATGGTTCAAAAGTCAAGTCATATTCTATTAGTGCATATGTCCATTTGCCTATCCTTCCACGAAGAATTGGCCGATATAACATGTGCTTTATCACATCGGCCTGGCAAGCAACAACACATGTACTAGACAAAAGATAATGTCTCATCTTAGCACAAGCATAGTACAGCGATAAGCATAATTTTTTTATATGGGCATACCTTGTCTTGAGATCAAAAAGACGACGACCAAGATAAGCAATCATATATTCTTTACCTTCCTCTTCTTGAGTCAAAACAACCCCGATTACCTTCTCTTCGGCAGCAATATATAACTTGAAAGGAACTCCTCTCCTAGGTGCACGAAGAACCGGTGGTGTTGACAAATATTCCTTTATCTTTTCGAATGCCTCTTGTTGTTTTGCTCCCCAAGTGAATTAAGATTCATCCTTCAGCTTCAATATAGGGGTGAAAGGAATAATTTTTCCGGACAAGTTAGCAATAAATCTTCTCAAGTAGTTCACTTTTCCCAAGAACTTTTGCAAGTCCTTCTTGCACGTAGGTGCCTGAACTTTCTTGATCTTCTCTATCCTCTTGGGATCAACCTCTATTCCCTTATCATGAATTATGAAGCCTAAAAACTTCCCAACCGATACTCCAAAAGCACATTTGAGTGGGTTCATCTTCAATCCATAGCGGCGCATTCTCTCAAAAGCAAGATGCAAATCGGCCAAATGAGATTTATGGGCGGCCGATTTAATCACAATATCATCAATGTACACCTCCATAATCACCCTAATTAAATCATAGAAAATCAAATTCATAGCTCTTTGATAAGTAGCACCTACAGTCTTCAGCCTAAATGTCATCACAACCCACTCAAAAAGACCAACAAACCCAGGACATATGAAGGCCGTCTTAGACATATCTTCCTCGGCCATAAAAATCTGATTATAACCGGCATTATCATCAAGAAAGCTAATAAACCGGTGTCCTGAAGCATCATTGATAAGCATATAGGCTATAGGCATAGGATACTCATGTTTCAGAGTAGCTCTATTTAGATCTCTAAAATCAATATATACTCTGATCTTCCCAGAATCCTTCTTCTCAATAGGCACAATATTAGAGACCCACTCCGCATACCTGCATGGCTGGATAAACCCCGCTTGCAATAGCCGATTAATCTCTTCTTTAATCCTATCATAAA